AATTTATTATCACTAGCATGGAAAATATCATCTGTAACTTTCAACAAAGCAGTAGTATAGCTAAATCCAGATCGAAAACCCGATTGACATATTGTAGAATTTGTTTGTTAATAATTTTTTCGAAAACCTTAGAGAAGAAACAAAAGATACTGATCGGACGGAGGTCAGAAAAAATTTTTGGGTTAGAATTTTTAGGAAGAGGTATATAACATAATGAAGTAAAATTTGTATTTGTGATAAAATTGAAAATATGACAAATATGGTAAAACGTAAAGACAACAATGCAAAATCATTTTAGGGCTAATATGATCAGCTCTAACAGCTTGAAATTTAATTGAAAGTATGGATTTGTATATATCTTCTTCGACTATGGTGCTAAACGAAAAACTTCCAGTATTGTTCTGAATGGTATTTTATAAATAATTAATTATTTCAGTATCTGGTAACTTTGCAGACTTTGAAATACTTGCGAAGAAAATATTAATATAATTTATGTTTGACAGTTGAGCCGGAACTTCATGATTAGGTTAGTTATAAATGTCTAAAATTTTTAATATTTTCTAGAGACCCTTTTTTGATTTAGTAAAAACTTAAGGTAGGCTTTTTTCTGGCTCATTGGTTCCGTTAGTCAAGTTTCTCAACTCTAATAATTTTAATTTTGGGATCAGCCATAGTGCCTTTTTTGTGATTGTCACAGTGTTTTGAAGCAATTTGATCAAAAAGAGTTATCAGTAAATTAGTCTAATCAACAAGTTCAAAAGCTTGTTTTTAGGACATACTATTACGAAAATTATGTTCAATAGCTCATTCGATTCGCAATAATGTCTAGATCAATGTGTGAAGAAAAATTTTGCAGTGCATAAAAAATTTCAAAAGTTATAAACAATTATAAACACCTCAAAAACATGGTGTTAGGTTTTTAGCCAATAGTTTGTAAACTATAAACATTTTTGGATTTTTCAAAAAAGATCCTTAAAGAGGAGAAAATTTGCTATAAATAAGTTTTGACTCCCGGAACTGTACCTCCATTATTTATAATTTTAATTTAACGCTCAAAGTAGCCTTCCGCGCGCCATTTTTAGGTTGCGCGCACGGCGTCGAAACCGAGTACGTTATATAAAATAATTTTTTTAAGTTAATAAAATTAAATTCAAAAATTTTAAAAAATTACGGTGTATTCTAAACACTTAGAATAATTCATTGCCGTTGGAATTTTTCATAAAACTTAATTTTCCAACAAAGTAGGTTATTGTTAAATAACAAAATTTTTAGAATTTCTCTCATCATTACAAATTGATAAAACTATTAAATAATTACCGTAAATTTTTTTTGCTTCGTATATACATATAAATAGCTTCATAAAAGTTTAAAAAATGTTAATACTTTGTTTATAATAATTTTTTAAAGTTTACAAAAACAGAAAAGTCACAGTGGTGCTATAAATTTTTTTTTTTTTCAATTTATTATAATATTACTGTTTTAATGTCGAGAAAAGACGTTTATTAATTAAAAAAAAATTTTTTCCTCCATTTGTTTATAAATTTGTTATAAACAAATGGAGTATTTCAATTTTTTTCAAAAATTTTTTTACAACTTTCTGGACAATTGCCAATTATGATTTTTAAAAAATAAATGTTTTCTTAATAATAACTTTTAATTGTTTATAATCGTTTTTTTATTATATCTATTGTTTAAATTATTAGTTAAAAAAAACTACTTAATAATTGACAGTCCTCTACTAAGTGACAGCAAAAAATTTTTTTTTATTAATAATTCCATTGTTTATTGAGTTAACAATTTGTTATAAACAAATTCCCAACTTTGGTTTATTTTTTCCTGAAAGAAATAAAAATTCCAAAAACTACTTAGTGCATTAAAATTACGGAAAATTTTTTTTCCATTTTTTATTAATCTTTGAAAATATACGTACTATCAAAGTTGCAGCAGCTGATCCATTTGTTGGCTTAAAAGTTGATATAACTTTTAAACTTTTGGAGATACGACGATTCAAGTAATTTTTGTAGGCAATGAAATTATCTCTCAGATAAGTCATTTGTCAATTCCGTACCTATTGTCAATTTGTTGTTTTTTATATTTGTTCATAAAAATTGATTTTTTTTAAGTTTAATAAAAAATGGAATAAATTTTTTTCGCTAATTTTAATGCACTAAGTCGTTTTTTGGAATTTTTATTTTTTTCAGGAAAAAAAAAACCTAAGTTGGGAATTTGTTTATAACAAATTGTTAACTTAATAAACAATGGAATTATTAATATTTCAACAAAATATCAAAAATAATTTCAATGATTTTAAAGAAAAATTTTTATTTGTTTTTATTTTTTTTACGTGTATCATTTTTTTTTTAAATATTCAGTTCAAACTCCGTACGGATGTCAGTGATGTTAATTAGAAAAAATTATTTTACGTAAAAAATGTTTCTTAATGATTAAAAGGTGTGTACAAAATTTCATAAAAATATCTGGAGTGATAAGAAAATTATGTAAAAAAGTTTCCAAGTAGCGTTATAGTGACAGAAACTTATATCGCCACTTCGATTAAGTGACTTTTACGTTTCACTAAATGTACCTCTATATAGTGAGAATTACTTTTATATTTTCTTAGTTGTAGCCACGTGTATTTTACCACTGGGAATCACTTCAAAGTTTTATATTATTTAGTTGCCTCTGAAGGTGTTTGAAACGTTATAGCCACTAAGCCGGACCACCTTAAAGTTGCATAAACTTGAATATGGAAAATAGTAGTTACGGCCACCAAATCATATCACTTAAATACCACCTAGAAGTGGCAGTAATCTTAAAGTGGATTTGATAGTTTTAGTAACGTTTCGGGAACCATAAATGTATCTTTAAAGTGGCGGCACTTGATTGTAGAACTGCAGTAGTTCTTGCCACGTTTTTGCCTGCAACAAGAGCCGCTTCGAAATTCACAACGAAGTAACCGTTGCCTATTAGGAGGGAATGATTAATGCGATCGAAGGCTTTGCTATAATTGAGAAATATTAATACAGTCAATAATCCTCCTAGCTCCTAACTCCTAGCTCCTAGCTTTCTACATTGTCCGCCTTTACTATAAAGAAAAATTCTAACAAAGTGTCGTCGATCTGTGCGCAAATTACTTTGTTTTTAAACTTATTGGATTTCGCATCAACGTGTCTCGTTGTGAAAAATTTAAATGCCCTGGCCAAAATAAGGTTCCTTCGTTTTCCCACATGTCGGGAACAACGCAGAAACAAACACCCCTCTGTTCTTGAGTCAATACAATTTTAAAACTAATATCTAAATTTAAGGTATGCACACAAACGCAATATAAAATATTAAAAACATAACTTTAAGTGATCTGTGACATAAACAAATTTAACCGGCGAAATCTAATGTAAATTTTGAGGTTATATAGAATAATAAACTGATATGTTGCGATATCATCAGAGCGCAATTTCCCTGAGAAAATATAGTATACAAATTTTTCCCATTATCTTCTTGAATGTACTATATTTATATATATATATATATATATATATATATATATATATATATATATATATATATATATATATATATGTACTATATTTGTTATTTTTAGAACGGCACTTAAAACGTTTACTAAAAGAGATAAAATAAATTGTTAAATACATAAGTTATAAGGCTTTACTAGAAATTACTATTAAGATAAACAAACGGTAACCAGAAAGGAAACTAACAAGTACCAACTTTGTGAATTAAAATGGGAACCCTATATATTTTTTACTATGGCGATTCCAAATATACTGTACCTTAATATTTCATTAAGCCATTTTACGCTATTCAAGATTAAAATTGCTTTAAATTCACATTACTTTGATCTAAGTTGATGGATGATATATTTGTACTTTAAGGTAAATTTGATTTTCCTCCTGACATTGGCCTTATTGAACAATTCAAAAACTCTAAAATAAATGTAAAAATGGCTGATCTGGCAACAATGTTAATAATTAACTTTATGGTAGCAAACACTAGGTGGCTGCAACGTAACTGCCACTTTAAAGTGGTTAAAAATATTTTGGTTTAGTTCCATCTGCCACTTATTTGATGAAAGTAACTACAAAGTGGCATATTTTTAGTTTCTGCAACTTTGAAGTTTTTTTCCTGAAGCAGACAATTTTTAAGATCGCCATTATTGAAAAAATATAGAGGTGATATTTAAATTTTTTTTTTCGTCCATGTAGCTTCAATGCAATAAAATTCAAATATATTAAAAGATTTTAATCAACCAAGATTGATAAGAAATACTGTTTAAGGCATCTAAATAAATAATTTCGAAGATTAAAAATTTACAGATTTTAACTTTTTAATTAAATATAGAGTATTCTTATGGCGCGTGCCCATATTTCGAGCTACAACACCTATTATTGAGAGTAAACTTCCAATCGTTCCAACTTTTTGCCTATCAGAATTCCTGAATCAATATTTTTATAACACATTATTATTATTATTATTCAGTATGTACCTACGTATTAGTTTACTAGTTATGTCAAGTTAGAGAAAAAGCAAGAAGAAAACGAGAAATAATTTGCTACAAATATCAATCAAAAGACAAGGGCAGTAGGCAAAGTTCAGCGTTTAGTGTCGGCCACGTTGTCGCCACAAGAAAGTGTTCCCCATTTTTGTTACCCCCACGTGGTAAAACCGTGTCTATTACGTGGCAGAAACTTTGGCAATACACTTTAAAGTTTATAGAGTCGTGGTAGCCACGTTCCGACCACGAAAAAGGCTACTTGGGTTTTTTCTTAAAACTGTTACACCTTGTAGCTCAAAAATTAAGAGAATTACGACATATGTGATATTATCTTTTCATCTTAAAATCACCCAAGGATTGGCACCCTTAAGTATCGGCACTCAATTATTATACATCCTGTATTTTAGAAAAACTAATTAACTGATTCGTTTTATGTACCTCTGATTTAATATAAAATAATAAAGGTGAATATAAAATTAGAAACGTGTTTTAATATCAAAGAAAAATATTGGTAGAACAAAAAAGTTAGGTAGTAAAAAAAAAATAATTTCAATAATTTATTTATATGTTATTAAAAAACCGCACGCTACTCATGTGATTAAAATGTAATGTTTTTACTTAAGAATGAGTAACAAATCGTGTTTATATTTTGAAAAATAAATTTTCTTTGCCCTAATTAAAGTTCTCAGAGGCTTTATCAAATATTTCATATTCCCCAATTCTAGCTAAAAATTTCATTTAATGGAAAGTAAGCACGATTTGTTACCAATTTTTAAGTAAAAGCAAATACTTATTTTTATTTGCACTACCTAATGTAGTGCACTACTTATTACATTAGATCATTGATCGCTCTATCCCGAAAGATTATTAGAGATATTCTGTGTAATAACCAGCTAAAAAAAAAAATAGTTGTTTGTATGAAATTTTATAGGATTAAATATTATCTCTTTTGTATGTCAAAATTTTACATAAATAGTACAGTAACCACTGTCAATATGATAGCAGGCAAAGAATATCCAGTTAAACGTGGAGAATCACTCCAGCCACATTCGATTTCTGTTTTTAGTACATCAATTACTGTATGATTGTTTTTGTTACTACAATATGCTGTTCTTAAGTCGTCTTCAGTGTGACGGCAAGTATAGTCCCTATAGGTAGCAGTGAAACTTGGGCTGTCCTCATCACATAAATACTGACGGCGTTTTCTTAACCACACTTCAATCCACCTAAAAAAAAAATAATATATTTTTAAAAATATTTATTGATTTTATTTAAAATATAAAGTATCCTGCTTAAAAACTTCAGATTAAAAAGTGTACCTAGAATGTGGAAAAGCAGATATCATTTTAATTATCTAAATCAGGAAATTTTATATATACATTTTACGACACATCGTTTCTTGAAAGATTAAAATTTCTAATAGAAAAATAATATATTAAAATACAAGTTGCAGAAGCCACATATTAACGCACGAATTCGAAATTTGGTCACGAGCGACAAAAAAGCGAGTGGACGAACGAATGAGAATAGCTTTCTACAACGTGTGTTTTATACTATTTTCTCGATTTTGGGCTTTATTTATATATACCGTTTTCTTAATTTTTTTTGTGGTCGATGTTAGTTGGGGATGTTTCTCGCAAAATATGTCAGTTGGTAAACACCAAAGAGGTTAGAGGAGTAGGGAGATGTTCTGGGCCGGACTTAAATATTTGTATTTTAGTACCTAATTTTGGTAGGTAACAAGATGAAAAATTATGAGACGTTTTTTTGACTTTATTTGTTAGCACGATTCATTTATGATGAGGGCAATAACACTTTATCAATATATAGCTAGTAGCTAAGGGCCAATTCCACCGTTGTGTTGAACGAAGTTTAAATTACTAAACGAAGATTAAATTGACATTGATTTTTTCTACGATCACACCAAAATAAAATAAATAATTAAATTTTATTAGAAATGGGTTACCTTTTCGTTCGTTATAATATTTTAATATTTTGTTTTGGTACCTATATGCCGGTAATTATTTATGATTTATTTATTTGTGGAAAATACTGTTCAATAATTTAAAATATTAGGAAGTCCATTAATAGCTATTTATGTAACCAGTTACGAAATGCCTTGTAACGAGTAAATATTGGCTGGACGAGCGAAGCGAGGTCCCGCAAAATGAACGAGTTACACAAAACGACATTTCGTAACGTGTTTACATACAAGATCTTTTTTAATTTTGACTTATTTATAAAATTATATTGAAAAATGATTCATCATCATTCTTTTGTAGGTAAATATTTTAGAAAATTGTTGTATTTGATTGCACTACGACGTTTTTTTTAATAGTAATAATAAAAATGAGGAACATGTGCAGTGTTGCCGATCTGATTTTTGACATTATTTGCGGGAAATTTGAAAAAAAATGTTTTTACCCATTATCCTTAAAGGAGTACGTCAAAATTTTACACCCAACATTTCTGGGCAGTTTTAATAACGGTGTTCAATTATTTAAAAAATAAAACGGAATTTACAGCTTTTTTTTGTTTTATTTTTTGTTGTTAAACGTAATGTCATATTTTTAAATGTGAAATGTCACTAATCATTGCCTTTTTTTCGATTTTGGTTTTTTCGTTTTTTCAATTTTTGGATTTTTCAATTTTTTATTTTTCGATTTTTCGATTTAAAAACCAAAAAAGAGGCAGTTTTATTTATTTTCATTTCGTAACTGGTGACATAATCAACTTTTCGTAATCAGTTGCATAATGTTTTACTTTATGCAACTGGTCGCATAAAGTAGATCGTTTTGACACTTGCTGCGATAACAAAATATATTACTTTATATGTCAAAATTAGAGAAAAACTTTTTTGGCGAAGGAACCTTTTTGAAAAGCGAAATATTTGACGAAGCCCTAAATACATAAAACACATAATTTAAAAAATAACTTTCAAATTTTTCTTCATTTTGACTTTCAATAGGTAAACGTGATAAAAAAATCGGCTTTCTATTATGCTCCGATTTCACATATTCAATTTTATAATTATAATTTGACAATATTACTGCCCATCTACGTATTCTGTTGGCTGAAAATTGGGGCATACCTAGCTGGGTTAAAAATAGTTACCAGAAGTAAGTGATTTGTAACTAGGATAAAAAAATGTCCATATAAATATTCATTAAATTTAAAGGCCAGAAATTATTGTAAGACCCTCTCTTTCAATTTGGGAATATTTTTGTTCGGACTTTGATAAGGTACGCGAAGCAGAAGCTATAGGTTTCTCAATATTTTTTTCAAAAACATGACATATCATTGCCCTTATACCCACATTTGATGCATCTACGATTAATTTAATCGGCAACTCAGGCTGAAAATGCACAAGAACATCATTTGTTGTTAATTTATTTTTGATTAATTCAAAAAATTCCTTGCAAGAATTATCCCAAATCCATTTCATCCATAAAAAAATTTAAAAAAATCCTCAAGCAAAATCGTATTCTCCTTACTCCTAACTTAAAAATATTACTTCTCAAAAAAATGGTCCTCAAGCCAGATCCCTCCATTTTGTGGCGATAGTACTGTTTTTTTTCATCATAATTATTTTCTTCGCGGAGTCCTCACAAAGGCTTTGCGGAGCCCCAGGGCTCCGTGGAGCACACTTTGAGTAACACTGTTCTAGAGAAATACTAAATAGTTTGTAACGGTTGGAACCGTTTTCGTTATTTGACCCAGACATTATAACGGTCGGAACCGTTTTCGTTATTTTGAAACCAACATCTCTACACAAATGTTATTTGTCGTTTATGCCTTGTGTCAAAACTTGGATTGTCATTTTCATTTTATCTGTCGACAAGCAAGTTGATTATTGAATTTTAATTATCTTTTATCTTGGACATCCGATGTACTAATTATCTTTAATATTTTTAATGACCGTCTGATTTTAAAAAGGTAAGTTTCCTACCGATATTTTGTTGAAAATATATATTTAGTACAAGAATTTATAATTAAAATGTCAAGTATTGAAACATAACCTCAACAACATGAAAAACACAAGAAATCACATGTTTTATATAATTTCATATATTATTTTGTTTGACATAGATAATATGCTTTACTATATTTAAATACGTTAAATAAGACTTTTTCTTTTCCTATTAAATTTGGTCTCTGTGAAGCTATTCATTTAATAAGTTAAATTGTGCATTTGATAGTAAAAAACATCTTATCTGTTTCCTATATAAACTCTTCCTAATTCCTTTCTTTATATTTTTACCTTTTTCCTTGTAGCCTGGCTGTATATAGATGGTTTCAGTAGAAGTTCAATATAAACTATATAGATGGTTCGATAGAAATTATATAGATGGTTCAATATAAGCTGTATCTAGACGAATTTTAGAAGAACGTACAAGCTGCATGTTTAGAAATTTGGAAGAACGTATAAGCTGCCTGTTTAGAATACATCAAGAAGTTTAGTTCAACCACCGAAAGAAGTTAACGAGATTTCACTTTACCTTTGAAAATTTAACAAGAAGGCCTCTACAGTCTCTGTGAATTAGAATTTGTCGTTACCTTATTTAATTATAATATCATTATGGTTAGTGATTTTCTATATTTTCATAACTAATCGCTTGTCAAGTTTAGAATGTTTAAATATAGTGGCGTCCAACATTCTTTTTCAAAGTAATACGAGTTGTTTAATAACTTGACCCATTCCCCAAAATCTTAGAGCTTAAAACACTATAAAAATAGGTAAAATAATAAGATCATATTACAAGTTTTGAAAAAACTATTGAAACCAGTTGTGACGTTTGAAATGAATAAATTGGCAATCAAATTGATATTTTTGTATTTGATAGTATGTTACTCTTTCCACTTCCTGAAAATAGATTCCCCATGAAACAAGAAATAGTAAACAGTTTATTATAATAACCTTTAGTTGCTACTTATAACATGTACCAATGACCAAGTCCGATTCTGTTTATTTTCATATCGAAAAATATGGCCGTCGACAGAATCTTTAAAAATTAAATAACTCACCGAAATAAAGTTAAGTTTCTTTTATCTCTCTCACTTTTCGCACTTTTATTATAAATAAAGCTTTTTACAACACATATTGGCATTTTCAACGTTAATTTCCAAAATTTAAGTCACTAAAATACCAAATTAATTCTCGTTGGCACATTAAATTTGGATGGACAATGTTCTGACATGTGATTTTCTCAACTGTGATTGGTGGGTGTGAATAATTTCGAAATGGGATTATGCGCAGTGTCTTATGTTCCATCTAACGTTTGTATAATCTAAGGTAAACAGTTATTAATCAACTGTCCGGTGGAATTTTTGCTAGCAAACATACTAAAGTAGTGAATGTCAACTGAAATATCACAAAAAAAGTCATCAAAAATCGTTTAAGAATGAGCTTCATTCTTCAATGATTTTGCGTGCACGAATATGACATTCTTTCACCAAAATCGAGAATAGTATATTCTGTAACAAGGTTGAAATGAAAATTCGATACGAGTGAAAGAGTATCGGATTTTCATCCCACGGCCACAGCCACAGAAACAGTAGGAGTTGAATATAGTGAAAGTAAAACTCTTCAAAATATAAAATATTTAGGGCCAGTCTTTTCAACTCTCAGTAAAGTTGAAAGTAACTACTACTACCATATGGCTATTGTTTGTTAATCTGTCAAACTTACATGCAACTTAACTCAAAGGTGAAAAGATCGATCCTTAATATAACTTATGTTAGACAAGTTTTTATTTAAACTAATTGCATAATTTTTCAGTGTAGGAGGAATATTATCAAATTCCATATAGAAATCATTATACCAATTTTTGGATTAATATTCGACTTAACAAACCCCGCTTATTTTTATTCAAGCAAATTCGAACTAAATAGTAATATGTCGCGTAGAACTATCAGTCATGAAATTCATGACTATCTACGATGCGGGCGTAGTATTCACAGCCATTGGCCAGCAGCTATTACATAATGAACATTTTTTGTTTACAGAGTTAGAATGAAAAATATGAGTAAAATACATAGAGGCAAGTGTTTCAGAATTTTCTTTCAATCTCAAGAACAAGAATGTTTTCTTTTTGTTATTATAAGTAGGAGTGACCGTGGAAAAACTAGTTTAATTACCTTCCTTCGGTTTGGTCCAAGAGAAAGTCCATCGACAAGAGATCTAGTACTACAAAATCACAGACATCATTAAGAAGTCATTTAAAGA